CGGTACGAAGTACGGTCGCGGCCGCGCAGCGTCTCCAGAAGCAGAAGAGACTCCAGCGGCCGGGTCCTCAGTACCAGCAGGAGCTCCAACGTCCGGGTCCCCAGCACCAGCAGCAGCGCCACCGCTCGGGTCCTCAGCTCCAGTAGCAGCTCCACCAGGTGGGTCCGCAGCACCAGCAGCAGCGCCACCCCGAGGGTCCGCAGCACCGCTAGGAAGAGCACCCCCAGAGTCGGCAGCTCCAACTCCGCTAGCACCGCCAGCGCCAGAGTCCCCAGCTCCAGCAGCTCCAGTCGTAGTGCTCCCAGAACAACCAGTCCCGGCAGCTCCAGTACCCCCAGTACGAGCACCCCCAGGACGAGCAGCTCCAGCACCCCCAACTCCAGCCGAGCCACGAGGACGGCGAAAGCGCCGGACGTACCAGTCACGAAGCTGCTGCGGTGTGAGAGACTGCTCAGCACCCCGAACCGGAGCACCCCCAGACGCAGCAACCCGAGGCTCCGTAGGCTCAGTAGCAGCACCCCCAGGCTCAGTACCCGCAGGCGCAGCACCCCCAGACTCCGCACACGCAGGCTCAGCACTCCCAGTCGCAGCACCCCCAGGCACAGCACCCCCAGGCGTCGAACTCTCAGGCACAGTACCCTCAGCCCCAGCACCCGCAGTCCCAGCACTCCCAGGCCCAGCACCCGCAGGCTCAGCACCCCCAGACTCAGCACTCCCAGCAGCACCACCCGCAGCAGCACCTGAGTCACCTGTGACCTCGACAGGCTCAGCGACGGGAGGAGGGTCTACCTGAGAGACACCTGAAGGAGCAGGACCCTGAGGGGGGAGGGGGTCTACCGGAGGGGGACCAGGAGCAAGGAACAGCGGCGGGGGAGGGAGGGGGGCAGTGCGGTAGGGGAAGAGACGGTAAAAAGGGACCGACTCGTCAAAGGTGACATCCTGAGAGGCGAAGACCCGGCGCGAGGTGGGGTGGTAAAACTGCCAGCCAGGCGCGTCAGGGACAAAGCCAAGGAAGACACAGGGAAGTGTGCGGGAGGAGAGCTTGTCCGCGGACGTATCGCGGACAAGGGCACGAGCACCCCACACCCGGAAGCGTGACGCATCGCCAACCTCCCCCGTCCAACGCAGTGTGGGCGAGGTCTCCGGCAAGGAGACACGGGGCCAGAGGTTGAGCTGATGCGCGGCGTACCGGACAGCAAACGGCCACAGAAAATGGGGAGCCGCCGCGTGGACCAAGGAGGTACGAGCGACCTCCATGACCAGGCCTATGCGGCGCTCAGCAACCCCATTCTGCTGTGGGGAGTCCGGAAGCGTGAAGGTCTGCTCGATGCCCTCCGCCTGACAGAAGGTCCTCAAGAGATCGGAGGAAAACTCACCACCTCTGTCAGAGTGCAGACGCAGGACAGGAAGATCCGTCCGGAAACGGCGGCGGAGCTGGAGACAAACTGTGCGGATCCAAGGGATCAGAACAGCAGGGACCTCACCCTTGGTGCGCAAGGGGAAGACCGTGGTGTAACGCGAGTAGTCGTCGACAACCAGCAAAAAGTACCGCTCACCGCCCTGACCACGAACGCGGGCTGGGCCCCACACGTCCAGGTGGAGGGTCTGCAGAGGAGCCTCTGTCGGGGGGAACGAGGAGGAGTGAGGAGCGGCGCGCTGCCGCCCCTCGACGCAAGGAAGGCAAGGCGGCGCAGGCGAGGCAGGGAGGGGAGGGAGGGACCTGGGAAGACCAGACACAAGGTGGCGACGGTGCATGCCACGAAGGCGTGGCAAGGAGGGGTGACCAAGGCGGTGGTGCCAGAGAAGAGTCTGGTGCGACAGGGAACGACACTCACAGGCGTGGGCCACCAGACCAGACGCAGACACCTGACCGACAGCAGCGACCTGAGGAGACGCAGTGGTCAGTGTGTAGAGACTCGACCCCGGCCGACGGGTAAACGTAGCCAGGTGACGGCCGGTCCTGGAGCACGTGCAGATCGCCACACGCTGTCCTCCAGGGGTAAAGGTGTCAACCCACTGATCCTGGATGACAGCGTTGCTCACCAGGTTCGTCGAGAACGAGGGGAGGTGGAAACCCGACAACGAGCCAGACGGAACCGCCGGACAAGGGAGTACAGTGGTGGACTGGGCAAGGACTGGGCCCCCAGAGGGGTCAGCCAAGGAGACTGGGACCGGTGCAGGAAGCGGTGTGAGCTCAGTACTGTCACGAAAGAAACAACGGGAAGCACCTGAGTCAAGGGTGAAGGTGTGACAGGCCTCAGCCGGTGCGGTACCTGAGAGAGCAGTCTCTGTGGGTGCTGTACCTGAGAGAGCAGACTCGCAAACAGCCGGGACAGTACTGGAGGGAGCAAGTACAGGGGGCACCATACCAGAGAGAGCAGACTCACTAGTACCCAGGGCAGCGGGCTCTATACCTGGATCAGGCGGCACACACAAGTAACAGTCTCCCTCGGCACTAACAGTCAATGCATACATGGCAGCAATAATAGCATCATAGTCAAGAGCAAAGACATCAACACCAGCCCTCATGAGCTCAGCCCAGCGGGGGCGCTCAACATCCTCACCCATCTCCTCACGCCAAGCGTCGTCAAGGCGGGAGAAGCAGCGGTACGGGGTGTGGAACCTCCCACACGTCTGTCCCTTGCGGTCACCTGTGCGAATGACATAGGAACAGCGGCCACTGCCCCCCGACGTCCCACGCTGAGCAAGCCACTCACGAAGCTGCTGGGTCGTCTGGGGACGCTGCTGCTGCTGGGAGCTCTGGCCCGAGCCAGTGCCTCCACTCCGACCTCCGCCGCCACCACTACCACCGCTCCGACCGCCACCGCCACCACCGCCACCACCGCCACCGCCGCCACCACCGCCGCCGCCACTACTGCCACTGCTTCCTCCGCCGCCCCCGCCTCCACCGCCGACCCCACTCCCACCAGCGCTCCCGCCACCGCTCCCTCCAGCACCGCCTCCCCCCCCACCTCCCCCACCTCCTCCCCCCCCAGCGCCACCACCACCACCCTTGCCCCCCTTGCCCTTGCCGGTGCGGCGCCTCCCACCAGGAGCAGAAGCAGCGCCAACAGACTCAGCACCAAGGAAGTCAACAGTAGCAGCAGTAGCGTAGGAGGGAGCGAGGGGAGAGGGAGAACACCCCTCAAAGATGGGGGTGCGAGGAGCGCCACGAGCAGCACCGACAGCGACAATGCTCTTTTCGGCCGCGAGCAGCTGCTCCTCTAGGAGGGGGACTGTGAGCTCAGTGGGACAGCGAGCAAGGAAGTGGTCTCGAACTGAGCTGAGGGTGTCAGGGAGACGGGTGACTATGAAGTGGAGTGTCCAGTACAGTGGAGGGGGGTTCTTAGCGCAGAACTCGGTGGGAAGGGCGGCACGCAGGCGAGCATCACTAGTGCGAAGGTGGGTGATAAGATCGGCGACTGTAGCAAAGGTGGACAGATCGGGGAACAGGTACGGCAGCATGAGGCGGCTAAGCTCGGCTGTGGCAGGCGAGGAGTAGCGAGCAACGACAGCATCGTACAGGGCCTTAGCGGATTTGCAGTCGCCAAAATGCTCGAGCTCAGCTAGCGGCAGGTGACTGCGAATGGCTAGGCGAGCAGCTGCGTCACGAGTCTGCCAGTGGGAACGAACACTAAGCTCAGCTGTGGCAGGGGGGGCAGGTGCAGCACCAGACGCGTAATCATAGAGCGACACATGCTCCTTGCTATCGCTCAGAAGGAACAGCTGCAGGTCATCCAGCCAAGTGGCGAACTTCACAGGGCGGCCCTCAGCATCGAACGACAGCACGCGGATGGAAGCCATAGCGACAGTGCGACTGAGCAAAGGAAGCTGCCACAGCGCTGCAGGTAGGTAGCTCGGCGGGAAGCGCGGCGGGCGGGCGACGCGGCGAGCAGGTAGTGCGGGGGGCGGGCTACGAAGCGGGCAGCGCGGTGGGCAGGCGGCGCTGCAGGCGGGAAGTGCGGCGGGCGGGCTGCGAAGCGGGCAGCGGGGCGAGCGGGCGACGCGGCGAGCGGGCAGCGCGGCGGGCGGGCTGCGAAGCGGGCAGCGGGCGGGCGGGCGACGCTGCAAGCGGGCAGCGGGCGGGCGGGCGACGCTGCGAGCAGGCAGCGCGGCGGGCGGGCTACGAAACGGGCAGCGGGCGGGCGGGCGACGCTGCAAGCGGGCAGCGAGGCGGGCGGGCGACGAAACGGGCAGCGGGCGGGCGGGCGACGCTGCAAGCGGGCAGCGAGGCGGGCGGGCGACGCTGCGAGCGGGCAGCGCGGCGGGCGGGCGACGCTGCGAAGCGGGCAGCGGGCGGGCGGGCGACGCTGCGAGCAGGCAGCGCGGCGGGCGGGCTGCGAAACGGGCAGCGCGGTAGGCGGGCGACGCTGCGAGCGGGCGGCTCGGCGGGCGGGCGACGCTGCGAGGGGCGCGCGAGGGCGCTAGCGAGGGCGCGCGAGGGCGCTAACGAGGGGCGCGCGAGGGCGCTAACGAGGGGCGCGCGAGGGCGCTAACGAGGGGCGCGCGAGGGCGCTAACGAGGGCGCGCGAGGGCGCTAACGAGGACGCACGAGGGCGCTAACGAGGGCGCACGAGGGCGCTACGAGGCTAGGGCACGGGGTAGCGTGGTAACCGCATGCGAGCGGTGGTGGGCCCTTAAAAAAAAACGGTCGGTAGGTCCTAGGGACCTCCTGCTCTGAATACCATGTGAGAAGAACTAGGCAAGAATGGTGCATTGAATGAAACAGTTGGGTACAAGTAGCAAACCCTAGTTGGGGTTGTACCCCATATTGGCTACCCCACTACAGCCTACCAACATATAACACATTACAATTTAACACGTCGAGCCCCGCTTAACAGCTCCGCGCAACCGAACCGAGCCGCGCCGCCCTACCTGAACCGAGCCGCGCCGTCAGACCGAGCCGCGCCGCCCGTACCAGCAGCCCCGTCGATACTGCTGCTCCTCCTATTTCTTCTACGGCTACTACTACTGTTCCTACTGCAACTACTGCTGCCACTATGGCCAGTCCTCCCGTACTTGCTTTCGATGCTGAGGGCCGCCCAGTGAAATTTGACACCTGGCTAGATGACCTGCACCTCTTCCTACAGCTCACTGCCAAGGAGGATATTTCGCTGTACGATCATGCCCTCGGTCACGCTACTGCCCCTCCTACCACTGCTGACAGCACTCAGCGCTCACAGTGGCAGACTCGTGACGCCCACGCTCGCTTCGCTATTCGCAACTCCCTGCCACTAGATGAGCGCGAGCACTTTGGCCAGCACAAGACTGCTAAGGACCTGTACACTGCTGTAGTTGCTCGTTACTCCTCACCTGCCTCTGCCGCACTAGGCCGCCTCACCCTCCCCTACCTGTTCCCCGACCTGGCCTCCTTCAGCACAGTCGCTGACCTCATCACCCACCTCAGGACCAGTGAGGCCCGCTTTCGCGCTGCTATGCCTGACGAGTTCCTTGCCAGCAACCCCCCCCCGCTCTGGATCACGCTCTACCACATCGTCACCCGCCTCCCTGACTCTCTGCGCGCAGTCAGGGATCACTTCCTCGCTCGCTCTCCCACTGAGCTCACCATTGCCCTCCTCGAGAAGGAATTGCTTGCAGCTGAGGCGAGCATCGTCGCTGTAGGCACCTCTCGTGGCGACCCCCGCACCCCGTTCTTTGAGGGGTGTTCCCCTTCCCCTCTCCTCCCCTCTGTCGCCTCTGCTGCTGCTGTCGACCTCCTTGGTGCTGAGAAGGTCGGGGCTGCGTCTGCTCCGAGCGGGCGCCGCAGGGGCAAAGGGGGCAAGGGTGGAGGTGGCGGCGGGGGAGGCGGGAGTGGTGGCGGTGGGGGTGGCGGTGGGACTGGAGAGGCTAGTGGCGGCAGTGGGGGTGGTGACAGCAGCGGCGGGAGCGGTGGCAGGGGCGGAGGCGGCAGCGGAGGCGGAGGTGGTCGTGGCGGCGGCAGGGGTGGAGGTGGCCGGGGCGGTGGCGGCGGCGGTGGTGGTCGTGGAGGCGCTGGCGGTGGACAGAGTCAGCAGCCCGCCCCGTCGCTTCAGGCCGCCCGTGAGTGGTATGCGCAGCGTGGCTTTACCTGCACGTACGTCATTCGCACTGGTGACCGCACTGGCCAGCAGTGTGGGAGGCCGCATCCCACACAGCGCTGTTTCGCGCGCCTTACTGACGCGTGGCGTGCCCAGTTTCCTGATGCGACTGACATGCCACTGGGCTGATCTGGAGAAGAAGGGAGTTGATATCTGGGCTTTAGACTTTGATGCTATTCTCACTGCCATGTATGCGATGTTTACTAGTGGAGAGGGTGCTCAGTACTTGCGTGTTCCGCCCGACCCGGGCATTCTGACCAGTCCGGCTGCCGCTCTAGGTGCTAGTGAGTCTGCTGCCCCAGGTCCTGGTGAGGCTGCTGCTCTAGGTGCTAGTGAGTCCGTGCCCTCTGGTACTGAGTCGACTGCAGCACTGCACACCTTCACACTGGACTCAGGTGCTTCTCGCTGTTTCTTTCGTGACCGCACTGTCCTTGAGCCGCTTGCTCGGCCAGTTGCTGTCTCCCTCGCTGACCCCTCTGGGGGTCCGGTCGTTGCGACCTCCTCCACTGTCCTTCCTTGTCCTGCGGTCCCGTCAGGCACACTGTCAGGCCTCTACCTCCCCTCGTTCTCTACGAACTTGGTGGCAGGTAGTGCGCTCCAGGACGGGGGTGTTCACCAGTTCACCCCTGCTTACGAGCGCGTGACCCACTGCACGTGTGCTCGGACGGGCCGTCACCTGGCTACCTTCACTCGGCAGCCGGGGTCGGACCTGTACACACTGACCACTGAGTCCCCTCAGGTAGCTGCGTCCGCGTCTGCGTCTGCGTCAGGTCAGCTGTCCGCCCCCTGCTCGTGTCGCTCTCTGGCGCATGAGACTGTCCTCTGGCACCACCGCCTTGGTCACCCGTCTGTGCAGCGCCTTCGGGCCATGCACAAACGGGACCTTGTTGCTGGTCTTCCCAGGGTTCTCCCTCCCCTCCCACCCTCGCCTGCTCCTCCCTGTCTTCCCTGTGTCGAGGGGCGGCAGCGAGCCGCTCCTCACTCCTCCTCCTTCCCCCCGACGACTGCTCCTTTGCAGACGCTCCACATGGACGTGTGGGGCCCAGCCCGCGTTCGTGGTCAGGGTCAGGAGAGGTACTTCCTGATTGTTGTTGACGACTTCTCGCGCTACACCACGGTCTTCCCCTTGCGCACCAAGGGTGACGTCCCTGATGTCTTGATCCCTTGGATCCGCAGATCTCGTCTCCAGCTCAGTGAGCGTTTCCGCTCCGACTTCCCTGTCCTGCGTCTGCACTCTGACAGAGGTGGGGAGTTTTCCTCTGGCCTCTTGGAGGCCTTCTGTCAGCAGGAGGGCATTGAGCAGTCGTTCACGCTTCCGGCCTCTCCACAGCAGAATGGGGTTGCTGAGCGCCGCATTGGCTTGGTCATGGAGGTCGCTCGTACCTCCTTAGTTCATGCGGCTGCCCCCCACTTTCTGTGGCCGTTTGCAGTCCGATACGCTGCGCATCAGCTCAACCTCTGGCCCCGTGTCTCCTTACCGGAGACCTCTCCGACACTGCGTTGGACGGGAGAGGCTGGCGATGCGTCGTGTTTTCGGGTCTGGGGATCTCGAGCTTTTGTTCGCGATACGTCCGCGGACAAGCTCTCCCGTCGAGCTGTCCCCTGTGTCTTCCTTGGCTTCGTCCCGGACGCGCCTGGTTGGCAGTTCTACCACGCCACCTCGCGTCGTGTCCTGGCCTCTCAGGACGTCACTTTTGACGAGTCCGTCCCCTACTACCGCCTCTTCCCCTACCGCACTGCCCCGCTCCCCCCCCGCCTCTCTTCCTCGCTCCAGGTGCTGAGGTACCAGACCCCCTCCCCCCTCAGGGTGCCGCTCCCTCAGGTGTGTCCCAGGTAGACCCGGTTGAGCCTGTCGAGGTAGCTGTTGACTCTCGTCCTGCTGGGGGTGCTGAGCCTGACCGTGAGGAGTCTGAGGGTACTGAGCCTGGGGGTGCGGAGCCTGGGGGTGCGGAGCCTGGGGGTGCGGAGCCTGGAGGTGCGGAGCCTGGGGGTGCTGAGTCTGGAGGTGCTGCGTCTGGGGGTGCTGCGTCTGGGGGTGCTGAGCCTGGGGGTGCTGAGCCTGGGGGTGCTGAGTCTGGGGGTGCTGAGCCTGAGCGTGCTACACCTGGAGGAGCCCTCTCCTCCCGGCAGCTGCAGGAGAGGTACCTACAGTACTGCCGCCTCCGGAGAGGTGCTACTGGAGCTCGCACCAGTACTTCCCCTCCTGCCCAGGAGCTCCCCCCCATTCAGCAGATCCGAGAGTGGTACACGCGGCGCTGCAGTCTTCGGAGTGGTGCTCCTGGTGCTGCGGACCCTGGGGGTGGCGCTGCTGCTGGTGCTGAGGACCCGGACGTTGGAGCTGCTGTTGGTGCTGAGGACCCTGTCGCTGGTGTCCCTGCTGGTTCTGGAGACGCTACGCGACCGCGACCGTTCTTCGTACCACTTCTTCAGCAAATTCTTGGTCAGGCTCCTCCTCCTTGTCCTCCTTCCTCCGTAGAGTGTCCTCCGCCTGTCCAGTCACAGTCACAGTTCCCGCCTGCCTCGCCTCTCCCTGCTCCCTCTCCTTACACTGGTCCCACGGGAGGTCTTACAGAGCGTCGTGAGCCTGAGTCTCGTCCTGCGTCGCCTGTTCGTACTGCTCGCACTGGTCGTCGTGTCCCACGTGAGCGTCCTCCTCCTGTCCCTGGCACTCACTACATGACTCTGCGTCCCTCCACTGCTCCTCAGCGTGTTCCGCTGCCGTCTCCTCCTACGTCCTCTCTGCCTACTCTTCCTGATCCGGAGTCTGACTCCCGTCGTGCTGCCAGTCCCACTGTCACCCGTCTCCTCGCTACTGTTGTCACTGACCCTACCTTTGAGTCCTCTGCTGCGTCTGCTCTGGTCGCTGAGTTGATAGACTTTGCTGCCCGGTGTCGTCTAGACTACGCCACTAGCCTTGTTGCTGAGTCTGAGTCTGAGTCTGTCTGTCCTCCGTCCGTCGGGGGTGAGTGTGCTCTTGGCACGGACGTCCTTGAGGACAGACAGGAGGAGTTCCAGTGCTTTGCTGCTGCTTTGCCCCACCTCGTGTCCATGCTAGTTGCCCCTGAGGGAGACCCGGATGCACCAGACATCCCGACCCCGCGCACTTACGCTGAGGCGATGGCGGGTCCCTACTCCTCTCAGTGGCAGACAGCCATGGACGCAGAGATGGCTTCCTGGAAGTCCACACGCACCTACGTCGACGAGGTTCCCCCACCTGGGGCGAACATCGTCAGTGGCATGTGGATTTTCAGGGTGAAGCGGCCACCGGGTTCTCCTCCGGTCTTCAAGGCGCGCTACGTGGCTCGAGGCTTCAGTCAGCGAGAGGGAGTTGACTTCTTCCAGACCTTCTCCCCCACCCCGAAGATGACCACTCTTCGGGTGCTGCTGCACATAGCCGCTCAGCGCGACTACGAGCTTCACTCGCTTGACTTCAGCACTGCTTTCTTGCAGGGCAGCCTGCACGAGGAGATCTGGCTGCGCCGCCCTCCTGGTTTCACTGGGTCGGTTCCTCCTGGTACCCAGTGGAGGCTTCAGCGGCCGGTCTACGGTCTCCGCCAGGCACCACGTGAGTGGCACGACACACTGAGGACGACACTTGCGGCTCTTGGGTTCGCTCCCTCTACTGCTGACCCGTCACTGTTTCTACGCACAGACACCTCACTGCCGCCGTTCTACATCCTCGTGTACGTCGACGACTTGGTCTTTGCCACTGCTGACACCGCGGCACTCGCCCACGTGAAGTCGGAGCTGCAGAGGAGACACACGTGCACAAACCTGGGTGAACTGACAAGCTATCTTGGCTTGCGGATCACCCGGGACAGAGCACGGCGCACCATCACCTTGACTCAGTCACACATGGTGCAGCAGATCCTTCAGCGCTTCCGCTTCACGTACTCCTCGCCTCAGTCCACTCCTCTGCCTACCGGTCACTCGCTCTCAGCTCTGCCTTCGGATGAGTCCGTAGAGCCGAGTGGCCTGTATCCAGAGCTTGTGGGCTGCCTCATGTACCTGATGACCTGCACTCGACCTGACCTTGCATACCCTCTTAGCATCCTTGCGCGCTATGTCGCTCCTGGCCGTCACAGGAAGGAGCACATGGATGCCGCTAAGAGGGTGTTGCGCTACTTGTGCAGTACGTCGGGCATGGGGCTAGTGCTTGGAGGGCGAGACCGAGTTGTACTTACTGGACACTCAGACGCTTCTTGGGCGGACGACCAGGCTACTCAGCGGTCGTCTCAGGGTTACACCTTCAGCCTTGGCTCCGGCTCAGTTTCTTGGCGTTCTACACGCTCTTCTTCTGTTCTCAGCTCCAGTTGTGAGGCTGAGATCTACGCCACAGCCATGGCTGCCCAGGAGCTATGCTGGCTGACCTACCTGCTGACCGACTTGGGAGAGCGGCCTCGTTCTCCTCCAGTGCTGTACGTCGACAACCAGGCTGCCATTGCCTTGTGTGAGGAGCACAGACTGGAGCACAGAACGAAGCACATCGCCCTGCGGTACTTCCTTGCTCGAGAGCTGCAGCAGCGTGGTCAGCTTCGTCTGCGTTACGTGGCCACTGAGGCCAACCTTGCGGATGTGTTCACCAAGGCGCTTCAGCCTTGTGACCATCAGCGTTTCTGTACTCTTCTAGGCCTTGTGCCTGCTGGACCCCACTTGCTTACTTCTTGACTCTGCTTGTACTGTGATCTTTATATATATGCCTGCATGTTTACACTTGCTAGGTTGTTATCACTGTTTCTCTTGTTATATTATCAACCTGCATGTGAACTGGTCTTGTGACCACTTGCTTGTGCTCGGAATTTGTGTGGTATCCTTGAGATCCACCCTGAGCTTGTTTTGCTTTGCTTTGACTGGTCTTGTGACCCCTTGCTCTCCCCCACTTTGCCTATGGGGGTGTGTCAAACATTATATGTGTTGTGCTTGTTTAGGCTGCAGTGGGTTAGCCTATAGGGGGTACACAATTCTAGGGTTAGGTACTTGTACTCATTTCACTGCTAGTTCACTCATTCCTCGTTCAGTTATTTTGACAGAATTCGTAGGTCTCTTCTTCCTCTGACTCTTCTGGCATTGGTTCGGGTGTGTCAGGGGCGTACTGATCCGGAAGAGGAGGACCTCCCCAGCAGGTGCCGCGAGTTGCCCAGTACGGGTCGACGATGGCGACTTCCGCGGGAGGAAGGCCAGCTGCTACGGCGTGCCCTTGTTCCGCTTCGCCCGAAGTGCCCCAGCCTCCTCCGGCGCCCCACGTGTCTCCGGTTGTCCTTGCTTCTCCGACTGCTGCGTCTTTGACTTCTGCGCCAACTTCCCCAGATGGGGCAGGAGGAGTCCAGCCAGTGCCACCTTCCTCGGCTGGGGCAGGGGGAGTTCCCCAGCCAGTTGCGGCAATTTCTTCCGTTGCGACGGCACCCCAATTTGTGGCCGCTTCCTCTGGAGTCAGGACTTCGCCCCAAGATCCAAGCGCGGGTCCGGAAGTGTCCCAGCCTGTCCAGCGCGTTTCCGCCGGCGTGTTTTCCTCGGCAGGTTGTGTTGCAGGGCCTGACGTGCCACTGTCTTCCTCCATTGTGGCAGGTCCGGTCTCAGCAGGATTCGAGGTCGAGGCGGTCGGGACAGTGCGCAAGCGCAGAAGGCCGTCAGAGGCGGGTCGCTCGAGGTCCATCTCGTCAGGACGTGACCACGTTGGCGCCTCCGTGGGAGTCGTTTTTAGGAGCAGCGTGCGGTGGGAATCGCCGGTTGTGCCCTGAGCCGAGAACTGCAGCACGAAGACTCCGTCGTCGTCGATCGCCTTTCCGATGTAAGAGTCATCATAAAAGAGCTCGAAGGTCTTCTCCGTGCGATTGCTGCGAATGTCGATTCCGCATCGCATGAGTTGAGCTGACGAGAGCAGGTTGTATTGGAGATCTGGCGCGACGAGGACGTCTCCGATGTGAATGGTAAATTTCGTGTCATTCGCCTCGAGGTAGATCTCCCCAATCTCATGTGCCTTCATTTTTCCGTTGTTGGCGGCGGTGATTTCGCAGGGTCGTCGCATGCGCCGAGAGTTGCTGATGAACTTTGATGATCCCACCATGTGTTGCCCGCAGCAACTGTCGAGGTACCAGGTGTCCAGATCCTCGTGGCGCTGGCGGGCAAGGTTGGCGATCTTGGGCGTAATGATGCGATCGAAGTCGCCGGTGTACGGCGAGAGAGCGAAATATCTACTTGCGGGAATGCTCGGTGGCGAGTCTGGAGTAGGAGGAGGAAGCTCGAAGTCAGGAGGGATGTCTGAAGGGCGAGTCGACCAGGTAAAGACCGTTGGGTCGTTATCTGAGCTGGGCGCAACGGGGGTGGGGTTGTCGGAAGGGAATGAAATTCGATCCCGATCCCAGTAGCGGAACCCTCTGCTGCGGCGAGCCATGCAGCTTATGATCGTCCCTTTCCCTTTGTCCTTTGCCGAAATGACCGCAGGGGACTGAGAAGTACTGGCGACCGAGGGAGGCGACACAGTGGAGGTTGCGGCAGAAGGCTTGGATTGAGCTGAGGGTTGCTGGTTGGAGGCGTTGCGCCGATCATCAACAGCCTGACGCTTGTAGCACTGGTCGATGGAGTGGCCGGACTTCTTGCAGTATTTGCAGAAAGCTCCCTTCTTTCCGCGTTGCTCCCCTTGGGATCCTCCTGTGTAGAAGGCTAATTTTTCCCGCTTGACGTTCTTCTCGTTGTACAGGTCGATCTCCTTCTGCTCCGAAAGAAGCGTGGCGCACAGAGCCGACTCCGATATGGTTGCTCGGGCGCGAAGGAGTGACTGGCACTGACGCCAGTCGGGGCCAAGGCCTGAAATGACCATTGAGATGAACATGTCGTCGGGGACAGAACCACCGCACTTCTTGACTTGATCGCGCAGATTGCGGCACCGATTAACATACGGTCCCGCTTTCTCCCCTTGCTTCATTTTAACCGAAGTTAGTTGACTGAGCAGGCGACTCATAGTAACTGGATCTGTTGCCATGTATGAGTTGCGCAGGTGTTCCCAGGATGCGTGCGCGGGAGCCCACTCCGTCTTGTACGGACGAATGCCGAGCTGCTCTTCAGGTGAGAGATTGCGAAGGAGAGCGGTGTACGCGAGAAGTGATTCGTGGTAGTACTGATGCTTCTCCTGGATGGTGCCTTCCGAGGGAAAGGGCAGACTTCCGTCGTAGTACATCCAGATCTGAGCGGTTGTCGCAAGAAGCTCGAATTCGAAACTCCACGTGTAAAAATCCTTTCCGTCGAAAGGAATTGAGGTCTTCAATTTTGAAGTCAGTACAAATTTGGTTTGCATTGAAGCGATGTCTGACTGCGACCGTTGTGGGTTGTCTTGTGCAGGAGCTGACCCTTGACGATTGTCAAAGGTGAAGGATCTCTCGGAGTTGACGCGGCGGTCTTCTCCAGGGAGAGGAAGTCCAGCAACGCCACGTGCATAGCTTGAGCCATCAATGCTCATAGCCTGATGGCTTTCAAGAGCGTTGATGCGTGCGACTAGCTGCTCAACGACAGCGGCGTTGACGGAGGTCACCGCTGATGGCGCGTTAGTAGTTGCTGGTGGTGGGCCCGGTGAGTCTGCAGTAGCTTTCCCTTCAGGAGCCATAGTGTTGCAGACTGTCAGAGGTCCATCGGTGATCCCCGATTGATCCTAGGGAAGGGTTACAGGCACGTTGGCCTGGGGGGTTATGGGCGCACTCACCCGCTACACAAACAAGCCCTTTTATCCCAGTGGTTAGTGGCTGGGATTCTGACATGGTATCAGAGCGAATGTCTCGTGTTCGAATCCCGGTGTGTGCACTTCGGGCATCCCAGTGCGGGGGGGTGTCAGAGGTCCACTGGTGATCCCCGATTGATCCTAGGGAAGGGTTACAGGCACGTTGGCCTGGGGGGTTATGGGCGCACTCACCCGCTACACAAACAAGCCCTTTTATCCCAGTGGTTAGTGGCTGGGATTCTGACACAGACCTTAAGATGTGATAATTGATTTTATGAAAGGATTGTTCTAGGAAGAACGAGGGCTTGACAGATCCTATAATCCACTCTAGCTCTCATACCATGCTGATACAACCAAAGGATCAGTGGACAGGATAGAATGTGTTAAGCCTGAAAGGAGACAGTGAAGTCTCTGTAGTGACCTTGTTGAATAATAGTTGAAAGAGAACAAGATGATTAGAGAGTAGGAGTACAAGAAATTAAATAGCAAACTATCTAGCCATGTACTCTGAGGGGTACATTCCCTTATTAACTGTATTACATAGCTACAGTAACCACGACTATTGCTATTCTTGACAGTTACCGTGTTGCAGTCTGTTAACTGTCGCGCGGTTACTGGATCGTCAAGGGTCACGACCGTTGACTATCTTAGACGGTTGACCTTCGGGTGACCCTCGAGATTCCGCGTGCTCTATATGAGCTAATGCGGTACTAGTACAGTGGAGCAACTTCGGGAATGCCTTTATAACCTTTCGGTTATTCCAACAGATTAGACCCCCCCAAGTGCAGAAAGCTCAAATTCCACGAAACTGTAGCGAGACACATCATATAAGGGTAGCGAAATTTACTGATCTGACTGGATTTACTGACCACGTGCCTGCCTCGCGTCAGCTCGAGGTCAAATTTCTCATGACGCGATATCGGAATGGTGGCCTGTGATGTCATAAGAAAGTGTTTGACATGACTTAGAAAAAAAAAAATAGGATGTAGGATTAGACCCCGGGTCTATTAAAATTCCCCCCAGTTAATAGACCCCCCCCTTTTTTCCCCGGTATAGGATTAGACCCCCGGGTCTATTAGCCGACTAAAAACGGTACTGCGCGACAGCAAGGACAAACGGTTATTGCATCCTTTCATATTCCTTGTAATCTTATAAAAAGCTTCTATTATTAAAAGCGCAGGTGCGCTTATATCCGGGGTAATACAGTACGAATGCTGATGGATCAGCTTGGTCCAAAAGGGCCCTAATCTCATCGCCTCTTGTATTTTCTAGCCTGCATTTGTCAATGTACCGTACCAAAAATCTCATTGAAACCATCACAGTGGGACAGCCAGGGTGGCCTAAAACTAATTTTGGGCCCTGTAGTGCAATAACCCCACCCCACCCTAACTTCACAAAGTTGGGTGTTGTTAGTGTAGATTTGGTGTTCACTTCAAAAATTTGTGTAACCTGTTCAAGCACTGGCAAGCATTGCACAAAGCAGACATGTACATTCTAAAGAGCACTCGCAATACGTCATGCATGGTTCACGTGCCCTGGCACAAGCGTGAGCTGCATTCCCTCTACTCCACATTCGAGTACCACACGAGAGGTGTTTGGAAGCACATGGACTCGCGGTACCGTCTGCCAGCGCCCACGCGGCACCCCTCCACCCACTCCTCCCGAGTCATCCACGACTCTCGGCTCCAGTCCAGTACGCCCAGCACCGCACCCCCCCGCCACGCTGTCGCGCCCGGCGCATGCCTGCTCGCCAGCACCTCCACCTCCACGCGCCCCTGGCCACCCACGCCACCTCCCGCAGCAGCTGCAGCAGCAGCCTGAGCCTGTGCTGCAGTGGCTGCCGCTGCCGCTGCTGCGGCGGCTGCAGCAGCTGCGGCAGGGTTGTGTCCAGAACCCAGTGGAACAGCAGCAGCCGCAGAGGCAGCAGCAGCAGCGGCAGCAGCAGCAGCTTGGGCTTGGTGGGCCATGGCCTGCAGGCGGGCCATGAGGGCGCGCGGCACGGCCTGCTCGATGCGGCGCCTCAGCCCGGGCAGAGAAGCGCCACCCCCCGTGAGCACGATGTTGGTGAGCAGCTTCTCACGCCCCTCCCTGTCCGGCACCGCCGCCACGCTCGCTGCGATGGCCGCGTCCAGCCCCACCAGCTGCGGTGCGCGCCGGCCCCCCGTGGGAGCAGCAGAGGCGGTGGGTGGCGCACGGTCGGGGTCGGGCAGGGCGAGGGCGTCGAGGCGGCGCAGCGCGGCGTCGGGCAGCGAGGGGTCCTCCAGGGCGTCCTGGTGGTCCACCCGCAGATGGGCGGGCGGCCACGGCCACGGGGTGAGGGGTGAGTGCGCGTGAGAGAGTGGCGAGAGCATGAGGGCGGGGCGGAAGAGCATCTCCGCTGCTGCTCGCATGGCTGCTCGCGGCAGCGGCACCGCATGGCGCATGGCAACAGGCGAGGCAGGTGAGCGTTGAATGAAGTCGATGCGGCAACACCTGAAGGGGCCTGCCTGCACGGCATCCTCAAAGGCGTCCTCACCGCCCCGCTCCTCCACCTCCAGAGAGCAGTGCGCCTCCTTCACCGCCTGCAGCTGCGCCCACTCCTGTGCATCCGCCCACGGGTCAAAGCCCCGGTACGGCCACAACCACTCCCCCTCCTCCCACAACTCATCCCCCTCTGCGCCCTCGCCCACAGTGCCAGCACCACCTGCACCTCTGCTTTCCTGCGCACCCTTCTCTCTGCCGCCCCCTCCCTCCCCCACTCCACTCCCCTCGCCCCGCACTCTCTTGGCCACCCGCAGTGACCGCCTGATGCCCTCGCCACTCTCCCTCTCCCCCACCTCCTCCTGCCGCTCCCCCTCATCGCTCTCCTTCGATTCCACGCTCTCCAAATCTCGACCCTTGCGCTTCTCTCCCCCACTCCTGCCTGCCCCGCCCGCCCCATCCAGGGGCGTGGGAGAGCGGGGGCGGCGGCCGCCCAGCATGTCGTTGGCGGCCCACAGCAGGCAGAGCCCCGCGTCCTCCGACCCCACCGGCACCACCACGCGCGACGCCGTGCGCACGCTGCCCTCCTCCACGCACGCCACGCTCACCGTGTGCGCGCCCACGTCCACCACACACGCTGACGGCGCCGCGCTGCCAAAGGCGGCGGCGACGGCCTGCTGGTGCACGACCACGGACGCCAGGCGCAGGTGCGAGAGCGCCACGCCCACCAGCTCCTTCACCTCGCGCGCATCCATGCTCTCCGGCACCACCACCACCGCCGACACCTGCTGCTGCCACTGCTGCCGCTGCCGCCGCCGCTCACTCCCCTCCTCCCCGTCCCACTCCTGCCCCTGCCCTCTCCTGCCCGGCTGCTGCTGTTGGGAAGCAGAGGCAGCAGCGTGGGCAGGAGCGGCGGCGTGGGGGAGAGGGCAGAGGCGGGCGAGGGCTTTGTCCCAGATGGCGGCGAGGTCGACCAGCACGTGCAGCAGCGGGTAGGCGCGGCTGGCGTTGAGGTGCCCGCGCGCCATGGGCCGCCGCACCTCGTACGGCGCATCGCCTGGGATGACCAGCGCCGCCTCGCCCACCACCACCGGGCGGTACCGTGGCCCCCCACGCTGCCTGCCCTGCGGTGCACTTGGGGGAGCCGGCAGGGGCGGGGGAGACGTGGGCGCCTCATTGTCCCCTTCCCTCACCTCCTGCTTCACCCCCACGTGAGCCCCTCCATTCTCCGCCCCGCCATCCACTGCATCCATCACTGCCTCGCCCTGCCCCCCCACCTGGCCCACATCAAGCGACACAGCCCCGCCTGCATCACATGCCTGCCTCCTATGGCCCACTCCGGCCTCCGCGCCCCGCTCGCCCTCTTGACCCTCCCTTGCTCCCCCGCTCCCTGCCATCGCGGCCAGATCATTCGCTGCCCCTGTCTCCGTCCCCTTCCCCTTTTCCACCCCTTTCTGCGCCGCACTGCCACTCGCCCCATCCACCATTCCAATCGTCCCCACCACTCGCTCCCCTTGCACCATGCCCTCGCCCTCCCCTTCACCCCCATCCGCCTCCTCTCTCCTCAATGCCCTCCCCTCACTACCCTCCCCTCCCCCATCCCCCGTATCCTCTCTCCCACTCGTGGCCGTCCCACGAGCCACACGCGCACCATGCTCCGCACCAACTTGCACGCCGCCCTCCCCGCTGCCCCTCGCATCTGCACTCTTCCCTCCACCCGCATCCTTCAAACCCTCCTTTGATTCTTCCCTCTCGTCCACCGTGCCCCTCCCTTTCACCTCCTCCTCCTTCCCACTCTCCTTCTCACCCTCCTTCCCACCCTCCTCCCCATCCATACCTGTCTCACCGCCCTTGCCTCCGCCCCTCCCATCCCCTCTCTCACACTCCCCTTCATTCTTCTCTTCTTTCACCTCTGCCCTCTCATCGTCCGTCCCCTCCCCCATTTTCTCCTTCCCGTCCTGCTCCTCCCCTGCCTGCCCTTGTCCGTTATTGTCGTCGCGAGCCATTCTCTCCCCAGCATGCGCGCCCCCATCTGCTGCACGTGCCTCTGCGCTGCTCCTTGCCTCGCCACGCGCCGCCACCACGCCGCCCCTCGCCTGCTCACTCGCCCCTGCCTCGCTCTCCTCCGCCCTGCCCACCGCCCGCTCCCCACCCACGCATTCTTTCCCCACTCGCTGCCCCTCGCCTTGCCCTCCCCCCTCATCCGCCTCACTGCCATTCAACTGTCTCGCAGCCCCCTCCACCCCTCCGTTCTCCTCCTCCTCGTCGCCCTCACCCTCGTCCCCCCCGCCCCTCGCCACCACGCGCGTCCACGCGAACCTCGAGTCGTCCACCTCGACGCCCCCTCCCCCCGCCCACTTCCTCCCCTCCTCCTCGCTCTCCTCCCCATGCCCTTCTACCCCCCTCCGCCCCCTCCCGTCCGCCAGCGGCGGAAGCCCTAGTTCCGCCAGCGTGGCTCGCAGCGCGTGCCGCCGCTCCTTCATCGCGGCGGACAACTCCTTGGCGCCGCCCTCACCGCTCATCCGCTCCGCCGCCTTCCGCGCCCAGCCCTCTCCTCCGCCCTCCACCTCCCCGCCTACCGCTGCTTCCTGCGCACACCCATCCACTCGTCTCCCCCATCCAATCGCCCCCCCTGTTCGCCCGCCCAAGCTTCTCACCCGGTCTCGCTCGTCCGCCACGCCCGCGGCCTCGCCTCCGCGCTCTGCGCGCTTCTCGTTCTCTGCCGCTCCCCCCCGCAGTCCCTCCCGTGGCGACGTGAGCCGAGCGATGACGTGCGGAATGGCGAGCGGGGCGGCGGACGACGCGAGGCCGATGCGGAGGGTGAGCGAGCCCGGGTGGATGACGACGAGGGTGGCGCCGCGCTCCGCCAGCAGCTGCGACGGCGCCGCCGTTTTAAGCGCGTCCATTGCGACGAGATGAAGCGCGCCGCGCGAGGTCACCGATCCGTATTGGTCTCGAGCGGCAAGCACCTAGGACGATGTCAGGTACAATACCCTCAAATTTCAGTTGTATCGTGGCTCAGGAGGACGGTTCGACATGGTGGAAAGCGGTTTTCAAGGTTTACCGTTTTGCACTGTAACTAAACGAAATTAACCGCTGAGAGCATATCTGTAAGTGTTATGAATGAACTTGTCAGAGTGCGCAGATATCGAAAAACGAGAATGAACTTATTACAGAATGACGAAACAATGAAAAAGGCACGACTAAATCGGGGAAAACCTAGCTAAGCGGGGTAGGTGTGGTAGGGTTGGCTCGCGAAGTGTCGCGATTGGTGCGGAGGCGGCTCGGTGAGGTTGGGATGCGAAATTGTAGGCCGAACCAGTTGGTCGCGTGGCCCTCGGGATGGCCTCGCTAACGAGCGCCTCAGTATGGATTTGTAAATAAGGCAGCCCTGTACCAAAATGGGTCCCACAGTAGCGAGGATGCCGTTGATCTTCACTTCAGCTGAATCCGACGGCTGAAATTCCTGTTGGCCGTTGATGTAGGCCGTTGATGCTGTCAGATTTCGATCTGACGGATGTGGTTGAACTGGCCCAAAATGAATGGAAAGTTGGAATGTGGGCCGTTGATCAGCAGGTGCGAATCTGACGATCGAAGATGTCGCGAAATTGGAGGGAACCAGTTGACGTGAACTTCAATCGCGATTGAGCAGAACCCGTTGATCGTGTCGGTGTGATCGCGATCGTCCGTCGTGCTGACACAACCTCAGAAAGGACCGAGAAAACGCCAAGGAAAGAAATAGTGCAAAGCACTTTCTTGTCAGATATATATGACTTAGTCTTTGTAGGCTCTAGTGGGGTAGACACTAAGGGGTACAGGTTTCTAGGGTTTCATATTTGTATCCAACATTTTCCTAGTTCAATGATTCCTCTCTCCTTCACATGGTATAGAGCGGGTTCCCTAGTGGGACCGTTTCTTCCTAGGGCCCACCACAAGATTTTTTTTTTTAGCTGACCGAAGCGCCTTTACGCCCTGCCCTGAAATTACGGCCACTGAGTGGCCTTACCCTACCCTGCGCGGCCCCTCGCGGCCCCCTCTCACGACCCTTTGCGGCCCCCGTCGCGACCCCTTCGCGGCCCCCCTTAAGGCCCTTCGCGGCCCCTTCGCGGCCCTTCGCGGCCCCTTCGCGGCCCTTCGCGGCCCCTTCGCAGCCCGTCGTGGCCCCGTCGCGCCCCCCCGTCGCGACCCTTCGCGGCCCTCTCGCGGCCCTTCGCGGCGCCCTTCGCGGCCCCTCGCGGCCCTTCGCGGCGCCCTTCGCGGCCCCTCGCGGCCCCCTCCACGGCCCCTTCGCGGCCTCACGCGGCCCTCTCACAGCCCTTCGCGGCCCCTTCGCGGCCCTTCGCGGCCCCTTCGCGGCCCTTCGCGGCCCCTTCGCGGCCCCTTCGCGGCCCCTTCGCGGCCTCCTCACGGCCCTTCGCGGCCCCCCGCGCGGCGTCACCCCTGGCCCCTGGAGCAGCCGCCCCTGCAGCAGCCGCCCCTGGCCCCTGGAGCAGCCGCCCCTGCAGCAGCCGCCCCTGGCCCCTGGAGCAGCCGCCCCTGGCCCCTGGAGCAGCCGCCCCTGCAGCAGCCGCCCCTGGCCCCTGGAGCAGCCGCCCCTGCAGCAGCCGCCCCTGGCCCCTGGAGCAGCCGCCCCTGCAGCAGCCGCCCCTGGCCCCTGCAGCAGCCGCCCCTGCAGCAGCCCCCCCTGGCCCCTCGAGCAGCCGCCCCTGCAGCAGCCGCCCCTGGCCCCTGGAACAGCCGCCCCTGCAGCAGCCGCCCCTGCAGCTGCCGCGGAGCCCTCGCTCTGCTGTGGTTGCAGCTTCGCCGTTGCAGCCGTCGTCCGCCTGCCCGTCTCGCCACTGGTAAGCACTGCCCAGCTGCTGCTCCTACTAACCTGCTGCTGCTGCCGTCATGGCTACTCCCGCTGTTCTTACCTTCGATGCTGAGGGTCGTGCGATAGACTTTGAGGTCTGGCTTGATGATCTGCAGCTTTTCCTGCAGTGTGATAGCAAAGACGGTCTCTCACTGTTCGATCTCACGTCTGGTGCCTCTACTGCCCCTGCTGCTGATGCTGACAGTACTGCTCGCTCACGCTGGAACACACGCGATGCTGCTGCCCGCCTTGCTGTGCGCAGTCACTTGCCGCCTGCTGAGCGCGCGCACTTTAGTCAGTACAAAACTGCTAAGACCCTGTACGACGCTATCGTTGCACGCTACTCCTCCCCTGCCTCTGCTGCCCTTAGTCGCCTCATGCTGCCGTACCTTTTCCCTGACCTCGCCGCCTTTGCTACAGTCGCTGACCTCATTACGCACCTCCGCACTAGAGACACCCGCTACCGTGCTATGCTTCCTGCTGAGTTCCGTGCCCAGAACCCCCCCCCCCCCCCATGTACATCACCCTCTACTACCTAGTCACCCGGCTCCCTGACTCCCTTCGCTCGGTCAGGGATCACTTCCTTGCTCTCTGCCCCACCACTCTCACCGTTGACCTCCTCGAGAAGGAACTCCTTGCAGCTGAGAAGAGTATCGTCGCTGTAGGAGCCTCTCGAGGTGACCCTCGTACCCCTGTCTTTGAGGGGTGCTCCCCCGTTCCCCTTTTGCCCTCTGTTGCCTCTGCTGCTGCTGTCGACCTCCTTGGCACTGAGTCGGTCGGCGCTGCGTCTGCTGCCAACGGGAAGCGCCGCAACAGCAAGGGCAAGGGGGGCAAGGGCGCTGGAGGAGCTGACGGGGGTGGTGGCAGTGGCGGAGGAGGTGGAGGTGGGAGTGGTGGTGGAGGTGGGAGTGGTGGCGGAGGTGGGGGCTCTGGTGGCAGCGGTGGAGGCGGAGGCAGCGGCAGCGGCGGCGGTGGGAGTGGAGGAGGTGGCGGTGGCGGGCGGCGGTGGCGGCAGTGGCGGCGGTGGCGGCGGTGGCGGCAGTGGCGGCGGTGGCGGTGGCGCTGGTCGGGGTGGCTCCGCGCAGCGAGGAGGCTTCGGTGGTGGCCAGCGTCAGCAGCAGCAGCGCTCTCGTGAGGCCCCGCCACCCCAGCAGCTTCACCAGTGGTACGCTGGGCGTCAGCGGCCTGGGGGTGCTGGTCCCTGTACCTACGTCCTACGTACTAGTGATCGCACTGGGGAGCCGTGTGGCGGCCAGCACACTACTCAGCGCTGCTTCGGCCGCCTGACAGACGCCTGGCGTCTCCGGTTCCCTGACGCCACTGAGCTCCCTCGCTGGCATGATCTGCTTAGGTCGGGGGTTCCTATCTTTGATCTTGACTATGATGCTATCCTTGCTGCCATGTATGTTATGTCTACTAGTGATGAGGGTGACTGTTACCTGAGTGTTCCGCCCGACCCAGGCGGTGCAGCTGCTGCTCTAGGTGCTAGTGAGTCTGCTGCTCCAGGTGCTAGTGAGTCTGCTGCTCTAGGTGCTGGTGAGTCTGCTCTCTCAGGTACCACGTCTGCTCAGGCGTTGCACACTTTCACCCTTGGTTCTACGGACCCGGTTGGACCAACTGGCCTGTTGGTCCTATGGACCGGGTTGGACCAACTAGCCTGTTGGTCCAATGGACCCGGTTGGACCAATTGGCCTGTTGGTCCAATGGACCGATTGGACCAACTGGCCTGTTGGTCCAATGGACCCAGTTGGACCAACTGGCCTGTTGGTCCTATGGACCGGTTGGACCAACTGGTCTGTTGGTCCTATGGACCCGGTTGGACCAACTGGTCTGTTGGTCCTATGGACCCGGTTGGACCAACTGGCCTGTTGGTCCTATGGACCCGGTTGGACCAACTGGCCTGTTGGTCAAATGGACCCACTGGCCTGTTGGTCCAATGGACCCGGTTGGACCAACTGGCCTGTTGGTCCTATGGACCCGGTTGGACCAACTCGCCTGTTGGTCCAATGGACCCGGTTGGACCAACTGGTCTGTTGGTCCTATGGACCCGGTTGGACCAACTAGCCTGTTGGTCCTATGGACCCGGTTGGACCAACTGGCCTGTTGGTCCTATGGACCCGGTTGGACCAACTGGCCTGTTGGTCCTATGGACCCGGTTGGACCAACTGGCCTGTTGGTCCAATGGACCCGGTTGGACCAACAGGCCTGTTGGTCGGACCAACTGGCCTGTTGGTCCTATGGACCCGGTTGGACCAACTGGCCTGTTGGTCCTATGGACCGGGTTGGACCAACTGGCCTGTTGGTCCTATGGACCCGGTTGGACCAACTGGCCTGTTGGTCCAATGGACTGGTTGGACCAACTGGCCTGTTGGTCCTATGGACCGGGTTGGACCAACTGGCCTGTTGGTCCAATGGACCCGGTTGGACCAACTGGCCTGTTGGTCCAATGGTCCCGGATGGACCAACTGGCCTGTTGGTCCAATGGACCCGGTTGGACCAACTGGCCTATTGGTCCAATGGACCGGGTTGGACCAACTGGCCTGTTGGTCCTATGGACCCGGTTGGACCAACTGGCCTGTTGGTCCAATGGACCTTTTTGGACCAACTGGCCTGTTGGTCCTATGGACCGGGTTGGACCAACTGGTCTGTTGGTCCTATGGACCCCGTTGGACCAACTGGCCTGTTGGTCCTATGGACCCGGTTGGACCAACTGGCCTGTTGGTCCAATGGACCGGGTTGGACCAACTGGCCTGTTGGTCCTATGGACCCGGTTGGACCAACTGGTCTGTTGGTCCTATGGACCCTGTTGGACCAACTGGCCTGTTGGTCCAATGGACCTGTTGGACCAACTGGCCTGTTGGTCCTATGGACCCGGTTGGACCAACTGGCCTGTTGGTCCTATGGACCCGGTTGGACCAACTGGCCTGTTGGTCCTATGGACCGGGTTGGACCAACTGGCCTGTTGGTCCAATGGACCCGTTGGACCAACTGGCCTGTTGGTCCTACGGACCCCGTTGGACCAACTGGCCTGTTGGTCCTATGGACCGGGTTGGA